CTGCTGGCCCTGGCCCTGTGCTCCAGGCTCCCATCAAGCTTCAGCTTCCCCTCACCTCCTGTCACTTCTCTACCTGCTGCCCAGGGTCCTGCAGCAGTAACCTGAGGAGGAGCTGCTGGAGGCTGGGGGGAGCTAAGCAGTTCCCCAGGTAGCTGCAGCAGCAGGGTCAGCAGCCCTGCCCATAAGCTTTGTTCACTGGCCAAGGCTGGTGCCAGGGCCGAGGCCCTCCCACGGGAGAAGCTGGGAGTGCAGTGTGCTGCCCTGGTGGGAGCGGGTGGGGCTTGGCCCCATTCAGAGCACAGCAGTGGCAGCCGCGGGCCAGGCTAGATACAATTATTTGGTGGGTGCACACCTGCAGGCTGGAAGTAAATCACCCAGTGGGCCAGATCTGGCCCATGGGCCATATTTTGCCCACCCTTGTTTTAGATACATTTGAAAATACATTTTTATTATATCTAATATTTCAAGTTCTTCCTACACAATTGTAACTCCCATTCACTATCAAGAAATGTGGAGATGTTACTGTAAAAGAAGAGGGAATCTGTAGAGGATGATCAGACATCTGCAAAGAACTTAATACCAAAACAGAAAAAGTGGATATTCCATCAACTACATAAGGCTTTACATATGAATTAATTAATGTTCTGCTTTCTTCAAGTAGTAGGCATTATTCTTATACAGGATACTGATTGAGGTAATAGTACTTTCACAGGTCCATCTTGTTCAGTGTCCAGTCCCTGACAGTTGGTGGTATCTGATGTTATAAATTAAGGCACTTGCTTCCTAAACAAATCAATTTGTAGCAGGGGTCCTACTCTGCACCCTGTTATGCTCATTCCTCTGATCAAGCCTAAACTGAAAACCCAGTCACAGCTGAAAACCAGGCCTATGATGAGGGACTTAAATCCCACATGCCACACTCTGGTGCAGCTGGAATGGGCTTCCATGATACCCCAGGCATTATGGTCTTTTTTTAAGAGGGAGTCAGCTAGGAGCACCAGGGCAGCTCAATTCCCCTGGAAGGGAGAAGGCAAGGGGAATTACCATGGGTGTGCACAGGAGCACAGACAAGCTGCCAATGAGGAGAATTAATAGATTCATAGACTTTAGGGCTCAAAGGGACCTGGAAGATCATCAAGTCCAGCCCCCTTCCCCGGGGGCAGGAAGTCAGCTAGGGTCAAAGGATACCAGAAAGATAAGTATCCAAACATTTCTTAAGAGAGTCCAGAGTAGGTGCCTGCACCACTTCTGGATGGAATCTGTTCCAGGTCTTGGGGGCTCAGACAGTAAAGAAATTTTTTCTTATGTCTAGCCTGAAATGGTCTTGGAGGAGTTTATGACCATTGGTCCTTGTTTTTCCTTGGGGCTCTCTTGTGAACAGATGTTCTCCCAGATCCTGATGCACACCCCTTATGTACTTCTAGGCACCCACCAGGTCCCCCCTGAGCCTGCACTTTCCCAGGCTGAAGAGTCCCATGGGAGAATGACATCATGAGATTTACTTGAGACGCATCTATGGATGCAAACCAGAGTTTGGTTAGCTTTACCAGCTGCAACATCGCATTTTGTAGCTCATGTTCATCTTGTGGTCAGTCATGACCCCCAAGTCCCTTTCAGCAGTGATGCTAGCAAGCATAGCCATGCCGAGCCTATAACCATGCTGTGGTGTTCCCCGCCCCCAAGGTGGAGTACCTTACATTTATCAGTATTGAATGTCATCAGGTTTGTATCTGCCCACTTACTAAGTTTATCCAAGTCAGCCTGGATCACTAGCCTGTCCTTAGGTGTGGACGCTATGCCCCAAAGTTTAGCATCGTCGGGGAACTTAGCCAGTGCCCTTCTGACACAAATGTCCACATCGTTGATAAAGATGTTAAAGAGAACCGGTCCAAGGACAGAGCCTTGGGGGACATCACTGGTCACGGAGCACCATAGTGATTCACTACCATTGACCACTACTCTCTGGATCTGACCTCAGAGCCAATTTCCCAGCCATCAGACTGTGGTGTAGCCGAGGCCACAGTTGGCCAATTTTTCCACAAGAAGTTCACGGGATACCAGATCAAAGGCTTTTTTAAAAGTCCAGATGTGACCATCGGGCCTCAAGCACCTGGTCTCGAGTGGCTTTACCTTGAATGTTGTGTGGTGTTCAACTCGCCCACCCTAGTTGTTGTCCGAGCAGTTGTTCCCTCCTGAGTTGGTTTGCTCGTATCTCTCCTGCCACAACTTTGAGTATTCCCAGTGGGGGCTGCCTCCTCAGGGTCACTTGGTCAGGTGTAGTCTGCCCGGTGGTCACTTATGGGGCTCCGCCACCCCTACACCCCGTCCTTACTCCGCCTCTCCACTCCTTTTGGCTTTGGTCAGACTCCAGCTGTCGAAACATCATTACACTTCCAGAAAAATTATCTTGTTTGCCATACTTTCATGTACTGGGCCTCTGTAGCCAACTTCAGACAGCTTTGTGGACTCTCTCTCTGTGAAGTCTTGCTCTGTACTTCCAGGCCCTTGCCTGTACCCCTTAACTTTCAAGAAGATGCAAGGATTTGTTTGATTTCATTCCTTGTGCATGTGCAAAATGGTTCCTGGCTAAGCCAGCTAGTTCCTCCCCACCATTTGAAAATGGCATAAGGACATCCTGTGCCAGGTCTCTCTGCTAAGAGACCTTCCCTCTGCCTGGGTTTTCCCAGCCTTTTCTGTTTCAAAGGTATAGTTTGGTGGGGAGTGTATTCAGTCTCAAATAAACTGTGTTTTAGGTGCTGCTGTGCTAGGTGCAAGTAGCAAGAAGGACTTCCTGCTGTTGTCACTACATGCTGTGTCAGTTGTTGCCAAACTTATATTTCAGAGCAAAAGTTTTATGTTCAGTGCCTGAGAAGACAGCATCAGACACATGACTGCTATTCACACTGTTGAACAAAAGAGATGTTAGTCCTTCTCCAGCGATGGGTTCATCCCCAAAGCAGATAATCTGTTTTATTTGTGCAAAGAGTTAGAAACACCATCAAAGGAAGTAGCAGAGCTAACAGGAGAGAGCAGGGCAACTGGGACACCAACTCTGGGCACTGAGTTGCTGCGGAGATGCAAAAATAGCAGTCGCTGCTATTTTCAGATTTTGAACCCAGTCTCTCTCCTTGGGATTGGCATATTGTGCCTGCAATAAAGCAGGACACTTAGAAAAAGGCAAGCAGAAGGGCTGGCTTTTCATTCTTCACACCTCTTCCCTTATGGAATTACTCCATAACTCTCTCTCAGTGCCCTTTGGCACTAGGCTCTCCACAACCCTGTATCTCTCTCAGTGCCCCCTGGCACTGGGGTCTGTTCACCCAGAATCCTGCACCCACACTGGTGCTGGGGTCTGTTCACCCCAAATCCTGTGCCCACACTGGCGCTGGGGTCTGTTCACCCCTGAATACTGTTCCCACACTGTAGTGGGCCACCAATGAGGCCTCCTCCTTCCCAAATAGCCTCAGCCCAATCCTCTGGACTTATAAGACAGCAACCAAAATATGAACCCCTGGGCTATAACATAACACAAAAAGTTCAGGGTGTTCTCTGTCCCTTTAAAAGGAGTCAAAGGTCTTCCCTGGCACTAAGTGCCTAGTAGTCAAGGGTACCCAGTGAGCTCCTGGATCCCCATTAGCCCTAAGTGCAGCATCTCTGGCAGGTGCAGCATCTCTGGGCAATTCCTCCCTGGAGGCTCCTTCCCCTTTGGCTTCTGGAAGGAAACTAACTCTAGTCCCAGCCCTGGGGTTTATATGGGCCCAGGGCGCTGCCTCTTCCGGTGAGCTGACCGGCTGCAGGTGCAGGCTAATTCCCTCCTTAGGCCTGCTGCTGTAATAACCTGCACATGTGGGGTTCCTGCCTGACTGCTAGGGCTCTCTCCCTAGACAGTTTCAGCCCTTAAACAAGCAGGCACCTTACTGCCCTGAGACAATGAGAAAAAAGATTTACCACTCAGAGTATGGGCCACCCTATTTACTAATTCAAGTTAAAATTAAGCTTACCATCTCATCAATACAGATCTGACCAGGGGTATATCCCGTGAAGGTCTAAGGGACCAGGCGAGAAGGAGAGGTGTGGGGATAACGTCTTGGGATTGATCAGGAATCCCCAAGAACACCGATCGGGTGAGTGACAGACCAGGGTGTAGGGACGAGGAGCCCTGGAAAGGTCTACCTCAAGAATTTATGTTAGTCTGACCCACTAACTGGGCAGACACTCTCTCTGTTCATATCAGTAACATCATAGCATGGCGGGTGATAAATCAACAAGCAGCAGAGTGGAGAGAGCCAAAAAACAACTGGTTAGTGGCTAGCGAGTGTCCACTGCTACACATGTATACATGGGCTTTTGCCCAGAAGGACTCCCACATAGCTTTTTAAATCTCTACTGTTATGACTTACGATGCTCATGATTCCTGGTTCTGGACTTAAGATTCTCACTCTAGGCCTGTCCAATGCGACTGCCTCCACCATATTTGTAACACTTTTCTGAGTACCCTGTTCCAATCTTTTCATGTCTCTGATATTTCTTGTTTCCATCTCTGAAACACTTTGTTTCCTCTCTATTCCTTTTATGAACCAAGATAATAAATAAGGTTCTTATAATAAAAAAGGAATTTGGGCTGAGATTCCTTAAACAATTAATACCCTGTGTTTGTCCCTAAATCAGGTCTATGACCTATTATAGTTGTAAAACAATAAACAGCATTAAAATCTGAGCCTGCCCAAAGGTTCTCTCCTTCAGTAGAAAGCCATTCTTTGAGATCCCAGACATGTACTATCAGCAGAGGGACAATACTGTTTCAAGTCTCAGAGGTCCTAGTATAGAGCCTCTGGCTGTTAGGGTTTGCAGGGCCTTTGATGATAGAAAAGTACTGTTCCTGAGCAAGGAAATGCTGCATACTTCACTATAAAGCCATGTTTGTTTTGAAACCATGTTTGCTTAAAGGCTTTCCAGCCTGCACTTCAGC